AATTTTTGTTCTCCAGTTTCAATAGTGTGCTTTTAGTTTTGATACTAGAGTAATTTGACCTATTATCAATTTTTTAGATGATAACATTATCTGTCCTTAAACGTTGGCTTTTATTGGCTATTTTAATTTTCAAGCGAGATATGAGCATTTTAAATTTTTGATATATACCCATATCTTGCTTGAAAATGAAAATTTTGAAAAATCGCCAACTCTTAAACACAGATAATGTTCTTACCTAAAAGTTTTATAATAGGTCAATTCACTCTAGTATCAAAACTAACAGCACACTATTGAAACTAGTGAATAACAATTTGCGATGTCGTGCGCGTGTGCAAGACGGAGACAACAAATGTATGGGTAGCGTCCTCTTAAATAGTTAAATCGAAAATGCTCAGAAAAAAAAAAACATAAACAAAATTGTTGGCAAACAAGGTTCATTATTTGTAGTTATTTTTCGTGATATAAAATTGAGAACTATAAATAATAATAATAATTATAATTTTATAATTATTATTTTTTAAGTACTTAATAATAATTTACCTACCTACTTTAATATTTTTTTTTTACTGTATTGGACGCCTTAAAAAAATATACTTTTGAGATAAAGATGGTTCCCCAAAATTAATGGGCCCCGTGACCGTGTCACCCTTGCCCCCCCCCTTAATCCGGGCTTGAATACTGAGTATTTACACAATATTCTATATACGAAAAGTAACATTGTTTATAGTACGGTATTTTGTCATATTTTTTTCCCAATGACTAGATAGGTAACAATAACATGTCAACGCTGATAAAATGATGACGACGATGACAGTTGCCGTGATTTTGAATTTAATATAAATTTCCATTAAAAAGTTTGCACTTTTTATTTATAAGTTATAACTAAATTTCTAAGCGAAAGATTTTGATGATTTTTACAAAAGCACGTCTACACGATATTTCTGATGTTTTCGAGTTTACTTTTTATACTGGGAGTTAATTGATGCATTATAAAATTAGTTATGTCGTATAACAAAATATTTACCTGTATTTTACACAGTTTAAACTTTAAACTTTAAATAGGCAACTCCTGCTTCGATATACTATACTATTCTTACACCGTCGTGCAGCTATTTTTTTTTTTACTTAGCTTGCGCCACGACCGTTGCGCTGGATAACAGCCGTAGTAATAATGTGTATAAAATATAATAATAAATTATAATTTAATTATATCCAAATAGACGTAATATAAGAATAAAATATAATAAAACATATACAAAATTAAAATAGCATATTTATTTGTTTGTATATTAACCTAATTATTGTATCTTTTTGGGTTTTTCTAATTTTCACGCAGTGGCATATTATACGATATCATCGATTGCTGTTGACAACAATTATATTGTTGGCTGCACTCTTAAAATGCTTTGCTTCAAAATAATTTATTTAACATTATTAAATTAAAATCACAGCGATTCTGTTCTCATTTGATACCCAGTGCAGTTACATGCTTCTGTAGTCCTGTGTTTTATTGCATTGTCGTCGTAATTTTGATAGCGTGTATGTACCTAGTTGTTTTTTTCATTTATATTTAATTAAATCGTGCCATCATAGTTGAAATGGTAAGTTAAGATTTTTTTTAACTGTTCTAGTTATATTATTTAAATTAATTCTTTAGAAGATTCAAATAATTATTTTAACTCAATTTTACATTATTATGTTTTCATTTTTGTATGACCTAAATAAATCATAATACAACTTGGGAAAATCATAATGATCTTCAAAGGAAAATCAATAAATTTACCGAGGCCAAAAACAAGTTTGTTAAACCACATATGCTGATTTACATAAAACATGATTAATATTAAAGTAGCTTTTTGTAAAGTTATAAAAGTTTTGTCATATTTAAATTGTCAATAATTAGCATTTATTATTTTTAATATTTTAAACAGACTTTTAAACAAAATTATTTTATATTATATAAGTACAATAGATTCTCAACATATTGTATATACTTCAAACTTCGATAAGAATCATACAGTTGTGTTAATTTCATGTTAAGTACCCATGAAAAAACTAAATTGAAGTTTTTTTTTATAAAATGTATGTTTAAAACAAATACATTTTAAAATTGAAATTAAGATTATTGTGTGTAACCCATATACTTAGAATATTTTATTTATAGATTAGTACAAGCCATATGCATCTATATTTTACAGCAGTGGAACAAATCGTAAAAAAAGAAATGAATTATACAGGTAATTACTAACTTTCAAACCTCTATAGTAAGTAAACATCCTAGCAAAAAAAATTGTTGCGAATTATTTGCAAAAATATGATATTGGTTTGGGGATGATACGACAAAGTCGGGGTGCAACGTGAACTTGGCACCCCGAACGAATTTTATTTTTCCTAGCGTAAAAAAATCGTTGCAAATTTTTTTTCTGTGTTGCAAATTGTTGTAAATTATTTGCAAAAATATGATAAAGGTTTGTGGACGATACGACAAAGTCGGGGTGCCAACGTGAACTTGGCACCCCGAAACATGTTTCATTGTGGGGGGTTGTAAAACTGTGTTGCAAATTTTTTTTCTGGTGTTGCAAATTATTTGCAAAAATATGGTATTAGTTTGGTGACGATACGATAAAGTCGGGGTGCCAACTTCACGCACGTTTGTGCCAACTGTAATTTAATCAAACCAAATGAACACTTAGCTGACAAAAAAGAACTTTTAATTATACACAAGAGGTTCGATCATGTACAACAATCACAATGCTTAAAAGCTCCATCTGATGAGCTAACACAAATAGTGACAATATGCTTAAATATATTTAAAAATACTTTTCCTAAAATTAAGAGCTCAAAGAAAATTAAAAACAGCTTTTGCATAAGGCTGAAAGACAAATAAATAATCATTTTTCGGTTTTACAAAATTCGTCGTGTAAGATAACTATATGAATTTATTTTACAGCTGCTGTTTAGGACAAGGATTTATAAGGAATGTAAGTGAAGTAACTCAAACATTGAAAAGCGAGGTTATCAAAATGCAGCCAAATTTCGAATATTTGAAAATAAATAAATAAATAGGTAGATTACAATTTTTTAGTATATGTTTTGTTATTTATGCAGTGTACAAAATAAGTAATTTATTATATTATTACATAAACAGATTTAAAATAATAGGTAAATAAAGTTGAAGATAAACTCAATTGTTTTGTTAATTTACAATTCTTCTTGTGTTTTTATTATGAAAAAAATATAATATTTTGCTTGAATTTTATTAGAAGTTAAATTTTAATAAAACAATAAATTGTAAAATACCCTTAATCACTGGTTTAAAAGTGGTCACTGGTCACAGGCGTAGTACAGTGCCACAGTGATAATATAAGTCAATAACAGTAAAAAAATGTATTTACTATTTCCAGTGTACAAATTGCAAAGTCGTAAAATCAAAAAACCATTTGAATGAGCCTAGTTATTTTTTTTATTTTGTAGACATTTGATTTTTGAATATGTTGATGAAAATATTTTAGTCATGGTTTAAGAAATCCTTCTAGTTTATTCATTTTGTTATGACTTTTGTGTTATTAGTTTCGACGTATTTCAAAAATATTTTAAATGTTCACAAACGAGTAGGTAATCGAATTACAGGTAAAAGTTTTTTATGTGAGCAAATTTCGGGTGAAATGAGCTGGTCTGAACTCATTTGTATTCTGATTCCTGGCCGTCAGCGGCGACGAAGTCTGTAAATGCATTAGCGACTACTGCGACGACGTTTGACGACGACGCATGACGCGACAAGTGACAACCGTTGTCCGCAGCGACGATTACGACGATTAGAACTAATTATTTTATTTTATTATAGGCCGAATTCCTTAGCGCTCTCTATTGGGAGTAATTACGGCGCAGCGTGTTATGTACTGCAGTGAGCTATCTATAGTATTTATAATCAATGATATTATGTATATTTACATTTTTTACTTAAGGCGGCTCTAAACGATTGGATTTTTCATGCATTTAGACCAATAAGCTGGCGAAAAATACACATACTTCTAGTAGTCCAATTTCAATTTTGAATACTTATTTGGATTCATTAGCTTCTTTTCTATGATCTGTAGGAAAAACTTTTTCATCTTTTTGTCTAGTTAGCACTTAAAAGTGCAAGTTAAATTTGAGAAATCAAGCAGTTATTTGGAACCGTAATATACGTAAATCATCTAAAATATCCAAAATCGGTTTCCTACAAATCATAGAAAATAGGCTGACGAATTCAAATAATTTTTCAAAATTGAAATTGGACTACTAGAAGTATATGTATTTTTCGCCAGCTTATTAGCATTTTTCACTGTTGTGAGTGTACAAAAATATTTTTCGAGAGTGATTAAGTTGACTTGTGCATGCGCGTACGTGTGCTATTGAACCGTGTGCCCGCAGCCGGGCGATATAAAATCTTTTGTTATCGAGTTCGAATTTCTTCGAATTTCACACTAATAATCATTTACGACTAACACATAGATTACGGGCGGCGACGACAAGATTAGAAATTGCCTAAATTGTTCCCCTTAAATAATAGCCACTAAGAGCCGCCTTAAATGTAAATATAAATTTTAATATTGTATTTTTTGATATTGTAATATTGGCGTGAATTCAATAAAATCTTTATTTCAGTAACACTAATCAATGATTATTATTGTAATATTATATTATATTGTCTACAAGTAAATGAAGGATAAATTATATAAACCAATAATTCAGTAATAATATTGTACCTACATTTAGGATAACCATATTAATATGATTATTAGATTTTATAAGTTAAATAGATTATTCTTATATTTATTTAACATAGAAACTTCGGTTAGTTCTGGTTCTGGCAAAGCTAGAAGTGGTCTTCCTATAAGGAAGTGTCCAGGGGTTAAAGCTGAATAGTCGGTGGTATCCATGGAGATCGCTTGAAGTGGTCTGGAGTTTAGGATCGCTTCAATTTGGCAAAACAAGGTGTTTAGCTCTTCCGCAGTAAATCACATGTCTCCTGTAACCTTATTTAGAATACCCTTGGCAGACTTTATATTTGATTCCCACAACCCTCCATGATAAGGCGAAGCAGGTGGAATGAATTTCCATTGAATTTCCTTTGACTGGCAGAATAATGTAACAGAGTTCTGATGATCAGGTTGCTGAACTAGTTTATATAGCTCACACAATTTGTTGTTTGTACCAGTAAAGTTTGTTCCGTTATCACTACTAATGATACTTGGATGTCCTCGACGAGCAATAAAACGTCTTAATGTAGCAATAAAATCTTCAGTACTCATTCCATCTGCCTTTTCTAAATGTACTGCCTTAGTAATACAAACATCTGAAACACCTCAAACATATGAATAGCGGTAGGTAGGATTTTGTGAAGGTACGACAGCGCAATTTGGATTTGATATTGAATGAGCCGGCAAAGTCGACTCCAACTCTATCGAAGGCAGTTGCTGGTGTAATTCTGGTTATAGGTAGATTAGACATAAGTTGGTGACATGTTGCCTTTCGAAATCGATAACATTTAATACAGTTATGTATGACCCTTTTGACAGAGCTTCTATTGTGTATGATCCAATATCCCTGTCTAAGAAGTGTCATAGTAACTGACAAGCTTGAATGTAAGTTATGTAGGTGCACCTGGTTAATGATCATTGTAGTGAAGGAATGATTTTTTTTAGAATAATAGGATGTTTCATGTCATAAGCCAAGTCTGAATGTTTGAGACGACCGCCCACTCTTAATATTTCTTTTTCATCTAAAAAGGGATTCAAAGCAGCAAGTTGACTGTTGGTCCTTACATTCTGTTGTCGGCTCAGGGAAATTAGTTCCATAGTAAATTCTGATCCTTGCACTATACGTATCCAGTACTCCATTACTTGGCGCCGTTCACTCACAGCACCGCTTCCAACAGTCTGGTTGGCCCTGGGTCTACAGTTCCTGCAAAATCGAATAATATTTAACACTATTCTCAATAATATTGTAAACTTGGTGAAGTGTTTGACGTAGTTAATAATGGCATACTGCATTGCACTGTTTTCTCTTCAATATTGAATGTAGAATTTTCATAATTGTCCGCTACTGGCCACTCTGCAAGGGTCGTAAGCCATCTGGGACCATTCCACCATAATTGATTTGTGGTAAGCTCTCGGCCATTTGAGACTCTTGAGGCCACATCTTCTGGATTGTCAGCAGAAGGAACGTATCGCCAAACTGCTGATGGCATCAATGTTTGAATCTGTCCCACTCTGTTTGACACAAACATCAGCCACCTAGCTGGATCACTGCCAATCCAATGTAATGTGACCATTGAATCTGACCACAAGTTTACTGATTGTACGTTTATATTAGTCGATTGAAGTAGGGCGTTAGTGAGCTCAGCGAGTAACAGCGCACCACATAACTCCAATCTTGAAATGGTAATTTTTTTTATTGGTGCAACTCACGTTTTTGCTGTCAGCAACATGGGTGCTGAATGTTCTTGAGTGGAAACGATATAGACTACAGCGGCATAAGCCTTTTCAGAGCTATCACTGAAACCGTGCAGTAGAAATGTACTGTGCTGTTGAATTCATTATGTGCCGTGGAACTTCAAATGTGTTTAAAAATTTGAATGATGTTCTATGTGTTTTCCAAGCGTAAAATAAATGTTGGGGTATGTGGTCATCCCACTCTAAGCGCTCTTGCCATAATTGTTGCATTATTAATTTAGCAACTACTACTAGGGGCGCCAACCAACCACAAGGATCAAAATTTCTTGCAATTTCAGATAATAGTTCCCTTTTGGTCAGATGTGATATAACCTACATTGGTTCCGCCTTAAATGTGAATGAGTCATTCGTTGTGTTCCAATTGATGCCCAATATTTTTATTGTGGAATCTGTATCTTCTTTAAATGAAATCTCTTTAATTTGGTGTTCAGAGGGTATGTGTTGTAAGGCTTCATGGTGGTTGCTTGTCCATTTGCGCAGCTCAAAACCTCCATGATTTAATAATGCTACAAGTTCTTGAATTGTATGTAACACTTCACTTAGATTGTCACCACCAGTCATGACTTCATCAACATAAAAGTCATTTAATAAGATCTTCGATCCTATTGGGTAGTTGTTTTGCTCATCCAATGCTAATTGTTTTAAGACGCGTAAGGCATGATACGGTGAAGTGATCAATCCATATGTCACTGTTGCAAGTTTGTAACTCTGTAGAGGTTTTGATGGATCGTTTCTCCATACGATACCCTGAAACTGCTGATCTTCCCCGTGCACTTGTATTTGCCGGAACATTTGACGTATATCCGCGGTAAACACAATGGCTGGAAATCTGAAATGTGTGATGACATCAACAATGTTTTTTTGCAATTTATGACCACGATATAATGATTATATCGTGGTCATAAATTATATTATATTATATATAATTAAATTATATTATAATCGATCGTTAAGTGAGCACCCATCATTCATCTTACTTGATCCATCGAAAACAACTCTTAGTTTTGTCGAAGGACTATCTAACCAGCACACATGATGATGTGGCAAATAAATCAAAGGTTGTTGCTCACCTGGTTGAACTAATTTCATGTGGTTAGAATGTTCATATTCATACATAAAGTCCTTATACATACTCCACAAAGTTGTTTGCCCTTTGAGAGCTCGTTCAACCCTTTTAAATCTGCTTACGGCTACTTGATAGGAGTCGTTCACAGTAGGTGGTGGCTCTTTGAACGGTAGACGTACCACATAACGTCCACTTTTCTCTCTATAATGTGTTTTTATAAAATGCGCTTCACAAACCAAATCTTCTTTAGTCATATGAGTAATTCTAGGTATCTCTTCAATGTTCCAAAAGTTTTGAACGGCTGCGTCTAAGGTAGATAGAACTGCTGTAGTGTGACAGGTGACGTTTTCACTTGTGGTTCCCTTAAGCGGTAGTTCATAACCGCCAGCAATAATCCATCCTAATTCAGTGTTCTGGAGTGTAGGCCAACCTTTGTTTTCGCATGACTGACCAGTCTTTAGCAGCCTAAAGAACAGCTCAGCAAAAATTAACAAATCAATTCTACCTGGTATATAGAATGTTGGGTCGGCTAAGGGTAGATTATTTATATGTTTCCATTCAGAGATGTCTATTTTATTTGTAGGCAGGTTTATTGTAATTTTAGGTGTAACCAGAGCATTTAATTTGTATTGTTTTGATGTAGTGCAAGATGAGATGTCAAAGGTTGTTATCTCCCGCACACTTGTTGTAGTGTTAGAGATACCATCTATGATCACATTATGCTTCTGGCGTTTAAAATGTAGACGTTTAGCCAATGCTGATGATATGAAATGAGACTGGGGACCAGAATCTAATAGCGCACGACACATTTCTTTCTGACCATTAGTACCATGTATGTGTATTAAGGCTGTGGCTAATAACGTTGTAGATGTAGTTGTTGATTGAGTAGTGCCATGATGAACCACAACATTGTTAGCCACCTCTGTCGAGACAGCTTGAACCTCTCGCTCGCCAGATGCCTTATTTGTAACCATTGGTTTGTCACTAGTGATATGTGGTGTATGATCTGATGTTATATGAAGAAGAGTATGATGTTTTAATGTACATATCTTACATACCTTGTTACTTGAACATTGATTTGTATGATGAGAGTACCATTAACAATTTAAACACAGTTTTGCTTTAATGATTTGTGTTTTACGGTCCTTAGGTGTAGCTTGCATGAATGTTGGACACTGATATATTGAATGGTAGCCTTGAGCACATACTGGACATGATTTCTTTCCCTGACCAGTTGATGACTCATTTGTTAGCGCAGCGTGAGTCCTTGTAATTTGTTTACCTTTAAAAGTACCATTAACTTTTAGCTGTACAATATCAAGTGCATGTATGCGATTTTCAATGAACAAATATAGGTTCTGCCATGATGGCAACTCAGTTGTCTTACAACCTTCTATTTCCCAGGTTTGCCGTATGCTGTTTGGTAATTTATAAGATACAATATACACTAATATTGCATCCCAATGATTTACTGGAAGTTCTAGTACCTTAAAAGCTGATAAATGTTTTCTAGTAACGTCCTACAGATTTCTCAAAGCGTTTACTGATTCACCATTAATGACAGGCTGTGATAATAAGTAGTGCAAATGCTTTTGTACTATGAGACGTTTATTATCATACCGATTAATGAGTAGCGACCATGTTTCTTTATAGTTCAGAGCCGTTGACGATAAGGTTGCAATGACTTCCACTGCTTGACCTTGTAGACTTGTCTTCAAATAATACATTCTATGCACATCATCAATAGTTTTATTATTATGAACTATTGACATAAATTGATCACGGTAGAAGTACCATTCTTCAAACTTGCCATCAAATGTAGGTATATTCATGGGTGGAAGTTTTATCAATTGATGTACATTTCTGTCATGTGGTAATGTTTTTTGTTTTGTGTCTTCTTCTGATCTGTGTATATGTGCTAATAAAATTGCTTTAGTATGAGCATAAATGTCACTTACTTCTTCCAATACTTCTATGTAAGTATCAATCTTCTCATCTTCAGCAGTCAACGTAAGTTGCTCAAACTCTTTATTGTAGATGTCAAACGCTTGTTCTAACAATTCTAATTGAACTTTTATTTGCTCTGAGTTTAAGTGAGACACTTTTTCCACGGAAAGATGATCCCTTTTCTTTACGATGAGTTTGTGTTTGTTACTTAATGTTTTAGTTGACATGACTGTAAATTGAGCTGTGACTTCGCGTGTCAGGTATACATAAAAACGGATGAAAATCCGGTTCGATTGGACCAAAATGTTTTGCATAATGAACCCGTTGAACTTTTATAAAGATGTACACATGGTTTTTCTTTAACTGACTGACTTACAGCCACAAAGTGTTTTATTGAACATATTGACTGATATTAGTAATAATGATAATATATAATATGGTAACATAATATTTGATAATAGCAAATGATAACAGAGTAGTGGACTGTATAACGTATAAATGAAAATAAATGCTATAAACGTATAAACGCTAAACGTATAAATGCTGATTTTAAATAAGTTATGATTTTTTAATAGTTTATATCTTTTTTAAAGTTTCTAGAGAAGAAAATAAAAAAGGTAATTCAAAAAATGCTAATTTCTGTAACATGTATGGTAAAATTAAATACACATTCTACACGAAAAGTAGATCCCTATATTAAGGTTTGGTTATTTGTATATTTTTCTTATTACTTATTTAAATACATTATTAAGATACTCACCTTGATAAGTACTTATAATTATAATTCTCTTGTTTGAAAGTTTTATTACATATTATTTAATTAAAGAAATTTAGTAAAATTATTTTTCAGGATGGATTATATGGCGTAATAACAATTAAAAATAAACATAACCATAGTATTGACACTGCTGAAACTTTAAGCTTCTTAATAGCAGATAAGACACTTAAAAATACATTTTACGAATATTTTAATGATAATATAGGTATAACTGATGCAATTAATTGTCATGAGCTCATTTTAGAATAAAAAGAAAATTTTTCACTGGAAGTCTTGGCTAATGTATCTATTAATCCAACTTATAGAACCGTCCAAAATTGGCACAATGAATGGAGGTTGGAAAATTTAGGTCACGGTGTACAACAGGTATGATTGAGGTAATGTTTTGTAATTTTTTTCACATTTCATTAGTATTTAACAATTTAAGAAAGTAGTTAAAGATTTCCTGGACAATTTATTATTAGTTTTAACAATATATTTTGGATTTATCCATGCCCATCTTCAGAGTATGTCTAAGTGTTGTGAAAATATAAAATATTTTACTTTGGTCTTGTATTAAAAATATGGTTTTGAGATATTTTAATGAAAAAAGAATCAGTTTTTATTATAAAAAGGTTAGGTTAGCTTAAAAGTTACTAAAAAAAGGAGACACATATCAATTAAATAAATAATTTCATAAAAATGTATGAGGGTTTTCTAATGTATCTATATAGTATATTTTAACATGATTGATTGAAATATGCCAAATTTCCAAACTTTTATCATTAAACTTCATACAATTTTTGTTTTTGATTCTCTTAAAAAATTAAAAAAGCAGTATTCTTCTCTTTCTGTAGTTGGAAATTATAAACTAATAGACCTATTTAAAAAAAAGCTAAAAAATTATTTTATTTTCTAATTTCAAATGTATACAATTCCTGCTTTGTTAGGCATCTAAAAATATAATAACTTATGATGTTTTTTTTTCTAGAAAATAATACAATTTATTGGTGTATACAAAGAGAGAAATGTAATAGTTAAGTTCAACAAAGATCCATTTGCATTAGTTATTATTACCCCACTTATGCAACGAGCCCATTCATTAAAGTCATCTAGTAACATTGTATTTGTAGACAGTACATCTGCTTGTGATGCAGAGAATTAGTCCATAAAATGTATGCTTACTCAGTGTGCTGCAGGTGCAGTTCCATTAGCAATAGTTATTACAAAAGGTATATTAAAAATTAATTTTATCTATCTATAATTTATTTTTATTTAGCTTAGATCCTTATTTAATAAATTAATAGGCTAGTCATATTCAGCATATAATACTGGATTTCAGTTACTAAAAGAATGCAGCAATAATTGCTTTGGTGGTGTTGGATGGCCAAAAATCTTTATAACCGATAATGCTGCAGCTGAAATAAATGCAATTGAAAACAACTGGCTGAATAGTATCCATTTACTATGCATTTTCCATGTTTGTCAAGCTGTTTGTCGTTGGGTCTGGGACTTAAAGAATAGCATACCGAAAGATAAGCGACCAATACTTATGAAGAGTTTTCAATTTATTTTATATGCTGATACAGTTGATTATTCAGAGAAATGTTTAAATGATATTATTAAAAACTTTGAATTTCCAAAATGGACAAGATATTTAAATGAACATTGGCAAACAAGACACAAATGGTGTTTGGCGTGGCGTGATGAATCAACTGTGAAGGTCATCACAAAAATATCTATTCTGATATTACCGTTCGAATTTAAAGACACTGTTCTATCAAGAATAAAAGCATACAACGTCGTAGCTTTATTCAATTTCACATGCACAGTATTAGAAGATCATTATTGTAGGCGCTTTTGCTAATTGTAGGCACACTAAAAATGGAACTGCTAGAATCTATTTAGATTCATTAATAAAAAAAGCAAGTACAAAACAAAAAGCTCATATAGTCTTATCTAAATCAGAATATGAGTATTGTGGACTGATTGAAAAAGATTCATCATGTACTATTAAGTAAACATTATGGGAGGTTGTTGTTCATGCTTTTCTGGTAAACTTGGTAAATTCTGTAGACATCAGTGAGTTGTTTATATTCATTTTGATGTAATTTCAAAAAGTTTCCTCCAGTTAAACCAAAACATCCAGTCATCCATTCCAGTAATTTTTATTGGTAAATAATTGTTCTCAAATTGATGTACCATAAGAAAATAATATTGATTTTCTAAATTATTCTAATACTAATGAGCCTGATTATTCACATCATAATGATAATAATGTAAAAAATGATTCTGAAATTATAGAAAATAAAGAGACAAAAAATAAATCAATACATTGCATTATCGATTTAATCAAATCTAAAGACTCAATGTTTGGCTCATCCACTGCAAAATATACTGCTGAATATTTAAGAGTCTCGTTTGAAGAAGATAACAACGGAAGGCCAGTGGCACTTGTTTATACATACTGCTGGTAATTCAGCTGTAGCTTTGCGAAAAAGACCTGGAGTCCAGAATTAGAGCTCAGCCAACATCTATTGCAGGAGATTA